CTTTCTCGCGTAATAATCGGCCTCGTACGATATCACTCTGTACACCAACAACGATTCTGTCCTTGATCATTTCATCAGCCATGGTACCATATTTGCAAGTTTTAACCTTTAAACGAAGATCCGTAATGTATTGATCAATTGACTCACCCTCGGCTGGTTTCTCTTTGTCTTCCTCTGATTCAAACTCAAAAGTGTTGAACACTTCTAGGGCGTCTTCCCCAATAAGATGTAATACATTAATTGATCAAGGGACTTCAAGGGAATATTTTCTCGTCATTATCATCTGTTTTCCTATGACAAATAACAAATGTACAAACTACAAACACGTCAAACAATGCACTTTTGTGTGCTTTAATACAGTGCTAAACTTATCGTACATGAAGTTGTAGAATGCTTTATACTTGCACTTAATTGCTAATCATACACCAACAACGATTCTGTCCTTGATCATTTCATCAGCCATGGTACCATATTTGCAAGTTTTAACCTTTAAACGAAGATCCGTAATGTATTGATCAATTGACTCACCCGGTTGCTGCATTCTACTGTTAAAAGTGTGTCTCTCAACTGTCAGATTGCGTTTGGGGTTGCAATACTCATCCAATTTCTTTAGAATTTCGGCTGGTTTCTCTTTGTCTTCCTCTGATTCAAACTCAAAAGTGTTGAACACTTCTAGGGCGTCTTCCCCAATAAGATGTAATAACATGGAGCTTTGAATTTTTCCTGATTTCTTGCTTGCTTCTGTCGCGGTCATGAATAATTCAAATCGCTGTTTCTAACGTCGCCAGTTTAGCTAAATTTCCTTCAAGTTTCAAAGGTTTTAAAGCTGGTAGTTTATCCATCGCTTCTTTATCTCAAGAATTTTATTTAGTTGCATATGTTCAGATGGATAAAATATAAGAGGATTCAAAAAAAAAACTCCTGACACCATGTAACAAGTTGTTTATTTAAGCTGCCATATTACAGACAACACAGGTCGCCCTAAATCACTATTTACAATGCTACAATGACCATAGGGGAAAATTATATTTTTCAGAAGTTTCTATTGTTTTATATGTTATTAAAATACAAAGTGGTTTATTAAAATAAAAAATTTGTTTATCTTCCTTACTTCCCAAGATATTGGCTATCCTTACTTCCCAAGATATTGGCTATTATCAAAATCATGAAGGTATATTCACCATCTTGTTTTATAATGAGATCAAATTTCATGACGTCAAAAGCAAGATTGACACTTAAAAAATAACCACTACTGATGAATCATTCCTCCTACCTGTTGCATATTTACCATCAACTCCGTGTGTTCACAAACTGTTTCATTGTGTGGCTGTCATTCATCAACAAATGCTTCAACTTGGTTGATTTGCAGGGTGACATTCTTATCTAATGTTTCCACTTCAAACAGTAGGCATGCATGTTTCCCATAATTGAGGTAGAAAGGGCTTAAACCCTGTGAAAGGTAGGGCAAAAACATAAACATTTGGTGAAATAATCTGTTTGGGTCAAGATATATCTGTTCATATTTGGTGAAATAATCTGTTTGGGTCAAGATATATCTGTTCCCATTCAATTCACCTTTTCAACTCTAAAAACACGTGTTGTAACAGGTGACCAAAAATGTAAACAAACACCACGAGTTTGGACAAGCTCTATATTATTCAAATATATTCAGAATGGTCGCTACCAAAATATGTGCATGGGGAATGTGCAAAAATGACTCACGTTACCCACAACATCTTGAAAAGAATGCAAATGGCAACCCAGTAACGTTTTTTCATTCCCCGGGACCAATAAAGAGCAAAGAGAAGCGCTTGAGGTGGATTGATGTGTGTCGTCGCAGTGATAATTTTAACTGCACCAAGGACAGTTACATTGGCAGTCTTCATTTTGTTGGCGAGCAGGGACCCACAATAAAGAACCCTGATCCAATTCCAGCAACAAAGAGTTGGTAAGTTTTTATACTTTAATTGTGTATATTCATATATTCAAATATTTGAAGGTATTAAATATTTTGTTACCAAAAACATGTGAAATGTGTTATGGTAAAGTTGGTTAAAAATATACAGGGTGAATGGATGGGTGGGGAAATTGAATGAACACAAAATATGCAATTCAGCATTTTTCCTCTTTTGTAGCAAAAGTACAATCATACTAAGCTGACCACAAGAGAGAAATTTCTGTTTACGTTAGTGCGTGTCCACAGAAATCCCAGTATTATCATGCTATCTGATATTTTTGGCATTTCTCTTGGAACAGGCAGTAACTTATTTATCACATGGGTACTATTCTTGGCTAAAGAATTGAAATTCCTCCTTCAGTTTACGACAACTAAGGATTTAGAAGGAATCAAAAAACCAAATGAACTTCAGAGCATAGAAAATCTCAGAGCTATTCTTGATTGCACGGAGTTCTACATCTAAAAACCTGGTAAACCATCAAGTCAGAGATCAACACACAATGAATACAAATCATCAAACACATTCAAATTACTTGTCTCAGTATCACCAATAGCTCGCTTCAATTTTGTTTCAAGCTCTTCACTGGAAGTATAAGCGACAAAGAAATTGTTAAAGCAAGTGGTTTTTTAGACCATCTTGGCCTCACCACTTATGAAAAGGGGTAATGTTTGTCCTGGCTCATCCACTGCCACAAGATGTATTGCCAAAGTTAGAGTGCATGTTGAGCGCATGATCAGAAAGTTAAAGTGCTTCATGATATTGAAACAAGTTATTCCCTTAACAATGAAGGGCTATGTTGACTCAATTATAACAGTTTGCACAGCACTTGTAAATTTACAACCAAGCATTATACAAGATTCAGATTATAATGAGAACAAGTGAAATCTATCAATCCTGCTAATATTATTAAACTTTAAAAATGATCTATATTAATATACTTTAATCCATTACACCATTTCATTTTAAGTTCACTATTTGTCAAGGCTTTTCTATTATTAAGCAATTCTTGGAAAATAATGCAATATTGTTTCCTAATGCATTTGATTGCTTTTAAGTTCTTATTGTTTTACTCTGTATACCCACATGATTTTTCATATCAGTATTAGGGTACTGCTTGTTAATGGGTTAAAGTAATATGAATGTTTATTTGTTCTTAAATTTGTCCATTTTACTAAGAAATGTCAGGTATCTCTTTAAACGAGTACGGGTCTCTTCAGCAACTGCATCACTGAACCAATGATGCTCACCAGGGACGCCGGACAAGCGTTAGGGCAACGGGGGGCAACGTGAGCGTAAAGGGCAATCAAAATTCGAAAGATAATTTTTTTCGAATACATTAATTGATCAAGGGACTTCAAGGGAATATTTTCTCGTCATTATCATCTGTTTTCCTATGACAAATAACAAATGTACAAACTACAAACACGTCAAACAATGCACTTTTGTGTGCTTTAATACAGTGCTAAACTTATTGTACATGAAGTTGTAGAATGCTTTATACTTGCACTTAATTGCTAATCATGCATCAGCAGTTACTAAACGTCAACAAAAACACATTTAATCTTTATGTTTCAATAAAACTTTAGAAAAAATCTTATAAATGATGAGCTATAAACAAAACTCATTTGATTAAGAAACTGCTAAACTGGCAAGGCGACATCGACATATGCCTGCATATTTTAACATCCATTTAAATGAATTTTCCAAAGTAGGCTCTTCTTTTATCATTCCTTTCCGCAAATTCTTGGGCAACCGATTTGATATCAACTTTGTCCATATCACTTTTCTGAATGTTTGCAAACATAATGGAGTTCAAATGATTACCTCCGGTATTTGCTCGCAGCCATGTTTTAAGTCGGCGCATAGCACTGAATGTGCGTTCACACAACGCTGAGGTGAGAGGGATGGTGTAGTACAGCTTAATCATCTTGTGTACTTCGGAGCACCGTATCTTCGCAGCAGGCATTTCGTTGAATATATCGGCGATGGTTGAAATGCGAGAGATAGATGTGATTTTCTTTTTCTTCTCTGCGTTATAGAGACCAACAAGTGTTGGCATATCACCAAGTTGCATCCTCAACGTGTCTTTGTCGATCAATTCGCTTGTTAGGCTATCTAACGGATATTCTCTCTCAAACGCAGATCTTAACAGGATTTGCTCTATGCTTTTTACAAGGGAAAGGTCTTCTTGGTCGAACCTCGTTTTGATACCTTCAGCAATGGCATCGATTGCTTCGTAGTAAGATCGGCGCATATCATCTGTGCCTTCGCTATCTACAGTGCCTGTTGAGTGAAGTCTTTCTGTCAGCAAAGCTTCTCCACTTTCCATCCATCTTGGGATTTTCTTTTGTCTACGAGCATCTGCATTTTTCTGAACTCCAGGTATGTTCCTTGCTTCTTCAAGGATGCGCTCAAATTCGTCCCTACTCCGCATTTCGCTCAGCCTTTGCACAATACATCGTAGGGAAAACAAAGCATAATCAGCAGATATTTCAACTGCCTGCAGCTCTTTCGAGAATTTTTCCAACAGAACAAGTAGCTTACGTGTGACATTCAAATTGAAGAGAACCGGGAGCGAAGACAGCTGTTTCTTTAAAATTCCCTTGATCCTCGTTTTCGTGTCAGCAGAGAGATTGGGGTCGGTTTTCATCTCTTCAAGGGTTGCGCGCAGCTCACTGGTCTTCTCGAAAATAACATCAGCTGCCTTCACTCTTGTCGTCCATCGTGTTGCGGATAGGCTCTAGAGTCGAAGGACTTTGTATTCCTCTCCATTATTTTCTTGTTTAAACTCTTCTTGAATTTTTTCAAATAAAAGAATGCGCTTAGGGTAAGCACCAACAATTGCGTACAGACTTGGCACAGATCCAACGATGTTGATAACAAGGGACATCGCGTGATTGCATCCTTAACAATTAGCTCATTGCAATGGGCGAAACAATGAACATATATGGCGTTTTTTGCAACTGAAGCTTTAAGCTTTCTTGCTAAAGATTTCATTGCCGCTGCTCCATCGAAACCCATCGCTGCCATCTTGGCGCCTTCCTAGCTGGACCTGAGAAGGATATCTTCCGTGTACTTTAAAAGGGCATCAGCTGATAGACCCTCACTGCATTCAAAAATGCCAACAAAATCTTCAGAAACTTTGTAGTCATCATCACACGTTCTCACGGAGAATGAGAGTTGTTCTTTCTTGGAGACGTCAGATGATTCGTCGGCAAGAATCGAGAAGAAGTCTTTTTCTCTCACATTTTCCAACAAGTTTCGTCGGGCGTTCAAAATTAACAGTTGCTGTTGTTCAACTAGAATATCATGCGCCGTTGTATAATGTTTCTCGTTTAGAAGCAGTTCCAAACCCTTGTCATGAATCGCTTTATCTAGGTTAAACTGGTATATGTTAGAATCTAAATCTGTGTTACCTCTTATAGCAACGCCTTGACGCAACAATGTTTTCATTGTTTGAAGATGGGAAATAAGCCCTTGTCTTCGCAGCTTTTGCATGTTAATATCAAACAAGCGAACAGTTTCTGCGATGCCGCTGGTACGTCTCATTCTTGCAACCATTTTAGCGCAGGAATCTTTGTGAAAAAGGCTCTCTTCATGCTCGGCAAATTTTTCGGCACCTTTTTTCCAGTTATCAAACCCTTCCCCACATTTGAAATTGAATGTCCCTGACCCTTTCTGTGTGTCACTGTTTTCAGTGCATGTTAAACAAAACGCCTTTCTCCTCTCCCTGTTGAACGCAAGCCAATCGTGCTTTTGAAACCACTCTCGAACAAAATACCGTCCATTCTTTTCGCTACTCGACCTGTCCTGGGTAGTAAAGTTTTTGGCAGCTTTAACCCAGGTTTCTTGTACTTCCACGTTTTCGTCTCCTCCCATTTTCATTTCGTCTTCAGCTTCTGTCTCTGCCTCTGGTGCATTTTTGTTCATAACAGGCTCCTGAGGACACTCAATTGATGTTTCACCGCTTGTATGAACTTATTTGGGACTGTCCAGGTTGAGAAGCCGCCTGAGCAAGCAACTTTGTTGCTGTCTTTCTATTTCTTTCAGCTCTTGGCATAGTGATAAAAGAGACGACCTGAACATGTTTAAAAACAAATGGTTTTATTATGGTAACAGAGACTGACAGCTGGCGAGCGGCGGCGTTTCCTGGCTGCACTTTCATGAGGTTCATCTCGTTTTGTTCTCGCGTTTCTCGGACAATCTCACAGACAATTCCATTGTCTTTTCCTTTGATGCATGTATGGTGACATGATACCATTCACGTATACAGCCTATATGCAGTGTATACACTACAAGGTTTCGAAAAAAATATCTCCCTACACCGGCCAGCTTAATTATTCTATATTTATACTGGTTAGACATAAACTATGGACTAAATTTGACAGCTTTGTATTTATTGTGGATAACTTGTGTTGCCTTAGTAATGGGGTAGGCCTACTTTGAGTTTCAAATAGCCTAGATAAGCCTTTCATATATGATATACACTGTAGGGGGAGTGGATAGATATATGATAGCTCTATTGTAAGAATATTTTTGCAATTGTAGTGGTAAGTGTTGTTGTTTACATTCTCTAATTCTATAATATATGGTCGCAGTACAATCGTGCTAATTTGAACTGCAACAGAAACAAATAAACCATACTTGACGAACAAAAATACTAGAAATAACATACAATGAGAAAACAAATTACAACTTTCCTACCTTCTTGGTATCTATGTGACTATGTCTTATATTCCAATTCTTCACTGATTCTACTCTACGAATGGCGAATGCCCGAATGGCGTATTTATAAACAAGTTCTATTAGCTGTTAATTATTAAATATTGCTTGTAATCAGTTTCAAGCCGTTTGTCCGTTTTCAATCAATATTAAGCAAATGTGACGCTAATTTTCACTAATGGGAAAAAATCACTACTACAATTCAGACAGTATTCTTATGGGCACCGTCGGCCCCCCTTGCCCCCCTTAAGAAAGGGCAAGGGGGGCGAATGCCCCTCCTTGCCCCCCCTCTCCGGCGTCCCTGATGCTCACTGTCCACATAAGAGTTAAGATTTTCTTCATATTTTGATAGTTCCTTATAAAATATTACAATAACATTAAAAACAACAAAAGGGGAGGGGGGGGGGCATTGAGAAAGCAATAAACAACATTTGATTAGGTTGTTTACATTAAAAGTCATTTACCTCAAAGAAGTTATTCAGAAAGAGATGCAAGTAAATGCCACAATTATTGCTGTGAGGTGGTTGCTGTGGAACCTAGGAGGTGCTATTAATAATTTCAATGACAGAATTTAAAGTTGATAAAAATATAATACTTTCAAATATATTATACCAAATGACAAGTTAACTTGTGATGTTTCTTTGGCCTCCCTGATATAACACAGATAATCTTGGTAACTAAGGTTATATTACAGTAAGACATACTGTATGTATATTCTCAACATTATGTAATAATAGTATAGTCTCAAGAAGTTAATGTAGCTGACCTGTAAATAAGACTAATTTCAGTTCTCCTGGATGATATATTAATTGTCAAAGAGTCCATTAACAAAATGTGCCTTAAAATGACATTTTTAAAATTATTTTTAACCGTATAAAGAACAACGAAAATGCATTGGAACCAAAAGGCATCCAGACATGATAGTGTCATTGTCAAATCTTTTCTTATTGCGCATACCATGGGGTCAAAGTTATTTAATATAATTCATTTGATACATCAATTAGTAAAATATAACAAGCCCCTTAATATTTTACATTCACTTTACTTGCCTTCGGTTAATAGGAATAACAATGTAATCTTCATTAAGAAGATCTCCCCCAAAAACATGGGTAGCACTTTGCATTCTTTGTTTTCTAATGTAAGTATAAACGTTAGCAGTGAATATACAATATGACTGAATACATTGTTCTAATTGGAACTGTTTTGCATGTGTGCATGAGTACCTGGTTGTCTGCAGTGTCAGATCTTGCTCTCCACAAAGTGTTGTATAAAAGAAACTGCTTACAACGGGTAAAGGACAGGCAATCTCCCTAATTTACAAATAAATAAAGAGCACATGCAGTCAGAATCAAATATAAGAAAGTTTGCCCATTAGCTGGAAATGCACCCAGGTGGTACCAATTCCTGTTTATAAAGTACACACATCTATTTGCAAAGGTGATTGCAATGATAAACATCTGAAATTTTAAGCAGAATTTTCACATTGAAGCACAAAATGACATACTTACTCAAAAAGTATTGCCACTATGGTGTCATTGACCATTGTGTTTGGTTCCAGTGTGCATATGTCACTTTTGTAAACATCGATACCATATACTTTCACAGACCTTTGTGCTGTGGCCAGTCGTTCAGATGGATGTGGACTTTCTATTATAATTGCAGCAGAGAGTGTATTGTCTTCTAATTTTTCTAAGGTTAGAAAATGCTATTACATTTTGATTGTCAGCAACCTACCCTTACCACCCACAAGTTTAGGAATGCTCACCTTTTTTTCCTGCTATTGATCCTTTCCTGTCATTTAAAAGTTGCAACATCATCGATGGAAGAATGTGTGTTTTCCAGAAAGCTTCTAACTTTTCCAAAACTCTTTTGAAGAAGATTGCAGCAAATTTCACCTGACATGTGTGGGTACCCTTGTTGGTCCAGACTACAAAGTCACATCTTGAGAGGTTTGCAACAAACAATTGTTACTGAACTTGAAAATAGTATTGGCTTTTCTGTGACAGTTTGAGCTCTTCACCAAACCTCATGCCACCAATTTCTTTAGTCAGAAAGGCTTCCTTGGGTGGCAAATCCTTATGTTTCCATGGGCATTTATATTCTACAATAATAGGAGGACAGTTATCTGAGCACTGGCATCGACAGATGTTATCCAAGCTTGCTCCAAGGAAAGGTTTCTTATTTGATATTAAAAACCCCTGGGGCTGCAGTTGAATTTTATGATGCTTGTGCCTTTCCTTGTGAGTTAAACCCCATTCTCTTGGTGTTGATGGCTCTTGCTTGATTTCCTTTTGAATATGTGGCACCTTTGGGTGAACAATTTGATTTACAAGGCAGCTAAACATCATGATCTTTGCCAGTTTGCCAGGATGTTTTTCCAGTGTTTGCTGCCGAGTGTATACTTTCTTACATTTTGATGCAGTGATGAAACCAGCCTTATTCTCATACCACTCTTTGCACTGCCACTGTTTCATGGTGATTGTATTAACATTTTTATCTCTTCTTCAGAAAAGGTCAATGCTTCACACAATGTATCAGGGTTGTTCAGGTTGGTATGGCTGTTCTTCATCTTCATAACTAGTTTATTCTTCATAATTCCAGAAGGTTGATTGTCTGGGTATGATTTATCATTTGTTGTGCTAGAAGACATTTGTTTATCACACAGATATGATATATATATCACGACGATTTAGCAATGGTAGGATGACAGGTGGCTGAGGTTGGTTTACTGATGGCTTATCTTAGGCTTATTAAACATGGTGTTTATTTTTTTGTGAACTTTTTCAACCGTTTTACATTAGGTGAACATTGTTCACCTTTTGCTCTGACATTGAGCTTGATATTCTGGCAGTATGTGTGTTTTCTTTTTCTCTTTTTATTTGATGGAAGTTTACATTTTTCGATAACCAAATCTTCAACTTTCCTTGGTTTTGTGCTTCCTGTAGGTCTTTTCACACAAACACAAGGTTTGCTTGTAGAACTATCTTTACCTCATGTGTGTAAAAGATCTTCAAGGGAGTACAATGCAGCTGCTATATGTTTGCATCCACTGTCACGCCCGCCTTTACACAGGCACTTTGCCTTCAAAATGCTCCCTCTATTTACACCTCTACCTTCTAAAATGAAATATAGGTCATAGCAGTCTTCACCTTCATCGGTTTTTGTTTTCATCGCTGGTTGCACTTTGCCTACATAAACATGAATACCTTTGTTCGGCATTGTCTTTGTCAGAAGAGATTTAACATAACCATCTTCGAATAAACAATAGTCATCGAACGACTTATACGCAGCTAGCCCTTGTTTGTCGTACTCTGAGGAGTGATAGATTAAGTAGTTAAATATATCATAGAGTCCAAAAGGCGGGGAGTCGACAAAATGATTAACTGCCTTAATTTTAAATAGATCTTCGATTTCCATATCATGGATTTGATATCGATTTCAATTAATTTACCATAACTGTTGTCACCGCAGCTTTTCTGAGTAATGCTAGGTATTGATGGTAAATTCATTTTGTTGGTAAATTCATAGTTGGTAAATCAAGTGCTGGTTTAAGATTGCCGTTCACACTTACTCCGGAATCGATAAGGAATTTTTTTATCTCTGTAACATTCATCTTGGTAAAGTCTTTTCTCTCGCCATTACTATCCATTATTCGCAATACAATTAAAAAATACAAACGAAAAAAAAACAACACAAGAATGTAATGTTTAAATGATTAACAGCCTGGAAAACTAAGCTTGTTCTTATATTTTACTCTTGTCCCAACTTGTGGCATTTGTTTACATCTTTGGTCACATGTTGCAGCACATGGTTTTACAGTCAAAAAGGTGGATTCTTTGCGCAAATCAATCAAGTCTATGCCAACCAAACACCAACCCTTATCAACTTCAAACCTTGTTAACTTTAACTGGCTGCAACATGTCAAAATTCTCTTTTTATTTGCAGCATTTCTTTGACACCTTCTCATCAAGAAAGTGTATTTTACAAAACCTAAATCAACTACATACAGCGATATGTGTACACATGTATTTTATCACAACCTTCTCTTATTTCTACTTGTCCTCTCTCTCTCTCTCTCTCTTTAAACTGCAGAGACTGCTGTATGATCTTGAAATGTAATTTATCCTCCCATCATCAAATCAGACAGTAACACTGTTCCCATGTACTTCAACTACTCTACCAGAAATGGCTCTTAGTGGATCTGCTCA